TGCTACTGCGGGCCGAGCGGCGCAGCCAGGACGGTGAGGAGGCGGTGGGTGAGGCCCCCCTCGCCCCGGCCTGCCCAGCCCTCCCCTGGGCACTGCCTGACCGCCACCCCCTTCCCTCTATCCTTCGCTCCGCAGCTCCCTGTTTCTCCCTTACTCAAGCCCCAGTTTGTCCCATCTCCTGAGTCTTTGCCCCATTACCCCATCCTTGCCCCTTTCCATCCCTTGGGCTGTGTACAGTCCTCCTGAACCCCTTTTATCCCACCCATTTCCATGACCCTTCTCCTCTTCGGTTGTGCCTTGGTGGGATTTGTGCCATCCCCTCTGCGGAGTGGTTACATCATGGTTTCCTGCCATTTTGTGTGTGTGCAGACACAGGTGATGCAGACGAGTTTGCAGAAGAGCAGCAGGAGGAGGGCCTAGATAAGCCATTTCCCGAGCAGTTGACTGAAACGTCCTCCTCAGCGGTGTTGGAAGGAAGTAGGTGGTTTGAGCAGCAGAAGTGTAGTTGTTGCAGGCCATGCTGCCATGGGGGCTAAACAAGACTAGCTAACTCTCTTCAGCAGATCCAGCAGTATCTGTAACTTCAACAGCTTTTTTTTTCTCAGGAAAGTAGATGTGATTTTGTGGATAGTATCCTGGGCAGTGTGTCAGGACCTTGTCCCTCAGGATGTTCCTTTGAAAGAAATTTATTCTAGTTTGGCCCTTTCATCTTTTCCAAACAGGTGGAAAGAAAGAGACTGACTTGAATGAACAAAATCAACCCACAAACACAGATCTTCCACCCAGTCTTTGTGTGTGACATCTTTTACTGGCTTTGTATTTTCACATTGTTAGAGATGCATTTTATTAAAATAAATAAAATTAGTATGTTCCCTTTAGTAGGAATTAATTCATTCCCCTTAACAGTTGCATGCTCTTCTCTTTATTCTGATGTAGTTTATTGAGAATAAAAGTGATTCTGTAAAGAGTTAAGATAGGTCCAGTACTTTAACCACAGTATTGCAGAGAAGCCTTTCACAAAAAAATTGGAAAAAAAGAAGGAAAAGTGATAGAAAGGGTGTCAGAAAAGAGAAATGATTTTTCTATGGCTCAGAGATTCTATTCTCTTCTCTACTGCCAGTATCTATGCAACTCCCATAAGCTTCTGAAACAGTTACTTGCAGAAGCAGAGAGTCATGGCCTGGTATTTTAAATCCATAAAAGAATTTTGTTCATACTGTACAAAAAAGATAGGACCATGAAAGTTAAGTGCTGAAGCTTGTTGTGGGTGTAAGTAGACTAAAGAAGTGATGCGATTCAACTTCCCACTCTGCAGCTCTGAATGGAGGCAGCTGTAGTGCTGCAGGTTAATGCTCAAAAGCAGTAAGACAGGGAGAATGATTTATTGCTTGATAATAATACCAGCACAAGGGTCCAGGTGGGGGATGCAACTATGCCTTTTCCACTACTTCTAAGCGTCCAGAAGCTGAAAGGGGAAGAAGACATGGTGCCCCTCCTGAAAGACAGTATAAAATAAAGTTTGAAATTCTTGGCTGGCTCTGGAATTCATGCAGTTGTTCCTGTGTTACAGTGTCTTCACCATCACCTCTTGAGCATGACAGAACTATAAACGTTTTCCACATCATAGATCTGGCACGACAAAACCCTTAATTATTTGCATTTCCTTTTACAAAGTGGTTTAATCTTGAAACATGTTCATCTACTTATTTTGTCATAAAAGATCGTTTGCAATTGTGTTGGAAAACGCTGGTAAGGATATTCCAAATAAAGCCCAGTTATCTGTGGAATGCAGTACAGTCACTTGCATGTTTGGATGCAGTTCTTCAGCAATAGTGCTGTCCTGGGGGAAAATGTATGATTAACCCCAGGTTTTGATGGCTGGTTGTTGAAAGGTGATGCTGAAGATGGAAGAAAATGCTTAGTAATTTAGTTTGAGAAGAAAATTGGAAGGATCCACTTTATATACATGGAATACCTGTTGTTTAATTGAGTTCTCTTCTGTTATTCTTTCTTAGTGATGACTCAAAAAAGCGAGGCATCCCCTCTACAACCTACAGACAGTGAAAGTGCGTCAGGTGACATATCAACTCTCCCTAGTGGGTCTGAATTGAGTAAACTGGAGCAAAGATTTACAACTGACAGTATTGAACACACACCACAGGTAAATGCTGTATTTCACTCTGTTCTTTTGTGGATGCGAAGAGGCTGGCTTTCTGATGCAAATGTTTCAATAAAACTGGTAGGCAAGTTAAGGAGGTACAGTGCAGAGCAAGTACTCAGAGCAGAACAGAAAGTTTTATGAGAACAGGGGTTTCCATTCAAAAGCAACAGCCTGTGCTGTCTGCCACAGCCTGATATTGACTGACAGGATATTGCAAAGGTAATTTGCTTGGCAAAATGGGGACTTTTGGTGAGAAAATGCAGCAGAGAGTTACTCAGGCACCACATTAGCCATTCCCAGTGTTGCTTGTGAAAGAAAAGTTGCAGTTAGATAAAGACACCATGGCAGGAGCATGTAAGGAACAGTGAACAAAGGCTTTTGTACCTCAAGTCTTTTACCTAATTAGTTGGTCAGGATGGAGTCTGGGGTTTCTAACTAAACTTGGTTTATGGCTGAGGTGCAGGTGGAAGGGGAGTAGGTGCTTGCACATTTTCAAAAAGGCTCGGAGGAGACGGACATTTAAGTGCTTTTTGGTTTCTTATGTTTCAAGCACTAATGCTGTTAGTCCTATTGGTCTGGAAATCAACATTGTTTCCAAAGCTGATGACTTTTACTGTTAGCTGAGTGATTTTTTTAACATTTCATTTATGTTAGTAGTTTACTTGAACAGCAATGTGAAGATAATGGAGTTAAACTAATGATTCCGTCCTATTGCTCACAGCAGGCAAACATTTTCTTGCTGTTAAGAAACGCGGCAGCAAACAGTAATAGTCATACTTAGTTTTTATTTTCCGTTTCAGCTGCAAGAACGGAAAGTTGACAAAGTGTGTTTCTACGTGGCTCTGGATGAAATTCCTGAAGAATTTGTATCAGATTTTACTGTATATTTTCTGAGAGACACCAAAGGTATGTGCACTGAATAACTGCAGGCTTAGTGTTTTCAGTCCTCACATCAAACAGTACTTCACATTGAGAAGAGGTGATAGTGGCTGGGATTCAGGGTAGTGCATATGCATCTTAATTAACTGGGCACAGATATTCTCAGATAAGAACCAGGAATCAGGAACACTCTTCATTTGGAATTTATGGGAAGTTACATGTCTTCTGCATTTTACCAGCAAGGATGAAGCTCTCATGCTGCATTCGGAGGAAGTCAAAAGATTTAGTTACTACAACTGCTAGAACTGTGTACGGTGTTTTGAGCATGAGGAACTGTATGTGAAAGTTAGAACGTGAGGTAGTGATGAGCACAACTGGGTTATCAGACTTCCTGACCTGACTCAAATTCTGATATACAACAGCAGCATGTTTTATTCTGCTAATTTCTACTTTTATCATAAAACCAATGGCAATAGTTATTCCAGCATCTGGAGTAGCTCTGGTTCTGGTCGCAATCAGACCTTAGTATCTAGCTCTAGCCCCATAGGAAACAGCCTCTACACTGAAGCAAACAGGTATTTCCACACCTATATCCAGGAAGTATCAACAATATGTTAACTCTAATTTAGTGCCAGAGACTGGC